GCAAAGTTGTATCAATAAAGAATAAACTAGTTTTAATTAAGAAATGACTTGTATCGCTGAAGTTTCTCGGAAAGAATTTCTATGGGAAATTAGCAAACGAACAGAGATGCAACAATATCAACATTTCTTTGACTTACAGAAAGCATGAAGTAGAAACAGAATGTGAAAAAAATATCTAAAAACGAGCAACGTTAAAAAATTGGGTATTTTAGAAATATATATTTTTATAACATCTTTCACATGCAAAACATATCTATGTATCTTATAATACAAAAATAAAAACTACCTATTTTTTAAATATCCTAATATCTGCTTATTTTAATAATATCCTGTATTTAAGAGATGGCAGAAATGTTAGCTATCCTAAATACTTTAGACGGTTTTGCCTAACTACTGATACTGATAGCCTACTTTGTATTTTAAAAAATTTTAAAGCTGACATTTTGTAAGCTTCACGTTACAGATTAGATATTTTATGAACAGAAAGATGAAATACTTCACAGCTGAACAATCAATAAGGTTGGTTATTAGATACTTTTCAAATAACACTTCCAAAACATTTACAGCTTTAACTTCTAACTATAAGTTATATATGTTATTTAGTGAACGTTAAGCCTTGGTATAAAACTAAAAGAGTGAACTTTATCGTAACGTAGTTAGGTATACATTTTACTTTACTATATCATGGTTCTACTGTAAATATTGGAAGTTTGAAATATGAAGTAGAAAAATTTAAATCTGTTTAATTCTATCATTTTGTATGTGTGTGCGTTTTGGTGGCTTAAGACTAAGTTAAGACGTAACCGGCCTAGCGAGATTAAATCTACCCTAGGCTAGGGCCAAACTCGAAACATTAATATGATAATATAGGCAACGCCCTATAACTTAATGACAAACGCTGTTCTCAAAAGTATGCTTTTTTGTATCTGAGTTATTCATCAGATTTAGTCAGAAGTTGTTGAACCAATGTTACGTTTTGTAGTAATGTCGATGTTGTCAAAATTATTTTAATCATTTATCCAAATATTTTGGGCTAAATATTTTAAAATATGGCAAATATATTCTGTAATTTATTTTTTGCGTTTAAATCACATTGAATAACGGTATTTAATGTATTATGTAATTCCAAAAGTACCCACAGAATCGTTCGACATTGCAAAAGTTATGCGGAAGTGAAATCCAAAATGGCGCACTCCATATGTACACAAAAATACAAGTTCATAATATTCCCTTTGTGTATACAATGCTAGAGCTGCATTCGTGACCAAAGAGTTGGAATAAGTAAGCAACACTTATAGATCTAAAATCTATGATTAAAGTCACGTTCACTGCAGATGTTTTTGTTTACATTATTTTTAGTTTGTCCATTGCGGATTTAAAATCAGAGGAATGCAAAGTATGACATCTCAAATCTATCTTTTATCACTGCCCAAGAGCTTTTTCATTTCATGCCTGAACTCATCATTTGATCTGAGGACAAGATTCAGAATGTTCTTTTTTCATGTTTTCTAACGTTAATCGAGTTCAATCCCTCAAAACAGTGTTTTCCAAACCGTGGGGCGCGCGATCTTTTGGCGGGAGAGCCCAAAAATAACAACGGAAGAAATAGAAGAGTTGGAAACGACGATAACCTGACAAAACTATCACTTTGCTCTCAAAGTTTTTTTTTTTTTATGCTCTCGCATTTACTCACTTCTTACAGGCATTTTTTCATTTTAAAAAATTATTAAAAACAGGTAAAGAAAATGTTGATTTTGCTGTTATCACTTGGGAAAAGTATTCGAATGTGAGGGGGCGCAAAGGAAACCTTGCTGATTTAGAGGGGGGGCATTTAAAATGTGGAATACACGGCCTCAGCTTGTGAATGAGCAAGCTCTTTTTTATTCGGAGGCTCTTTTAATCATTGGCTCTTACTAAGATCGTATACCAAAAATGTTATACGAAAAGAACTGATAAATTTGACATACGAAAATGGAAGGGACAGTTTACAAAGTTTATAGAGAAAACCATAGTACCAGACTGAATCAAAAGCTTTTTCAACATCAAAAGGAATTATACTGGATGGCCGGTTTGTATTGAAGTGATTGTGTCGGAAAACCTGAGTAACTGGTCTTTCAGGGAAAGTGAA